AACAACACACAAAATAGTCTATGACCAAGCTATAATCACAGACAAACCATCGTTGCAATAGGACAGATATCATGTTCACTGACAAACAAAACAAAGTCATTTACATCATAGACATGTCCATCATAACATACAAAATATACACACCAAAAAATTAATAAATATTCAGGACTTGTCCAGAAAATAAAATGCTGTAGAGAATGAAGAAGACACTTATCATATTTATAGTTCTCTCTTGCACATGCATCATATAACATACAAAAGTTGAGAAAAATTAGTCTTAACAACAATACATACATCACATACAGAAAGCAGCCAATTACTAAACAGATATCACAAAGTCAAGAAATTCTCACAGATACATAAAAAGCACATAAACAAAGTTAGCCCTTTCAGTAACTGAACCACAAATTTGGCATAGCACTGTAGCACTTCGTGACTATTTCTTTGTTGTTTTCGTTTCGGTTTTTTTCCCCCACCCCTTTTGTTTTGTGTTTCGGTACCACCTTTCCCGGTTAGCTGTGGATTGGCAGCCAGATTGGCTGGTTGGGGGTCACGTGCGGTATTTCTGGTTTGTAAGATATATAAGGTGGGACCCACGTGGAGTAGGGGCCTTTCTTTGTTCCTGGGATTCCTGGCTCGATTGAAGTGCAGAAGAAAGAAGAAAGAAAAAGGATTGGCGTCGGAATAAGAACTGTGTGGCTATGGACTCTAACTCGCTCAATTAGGAGAAGATCGAAGGAAGATTCGTCGGCACGTAATGGTTCTTCAAATGTTTTGTTCGCGGCCAAGATTTTCTCTTGTCGTGAGTAACGTTCTGTTATTTGTCTTTGTTACGCGTCGTTCTTGTCGTCCCGATTCGCCACGTGTCGTGAGCCCCATTGTTAAGGAAGATAGAGGAACGAGGTAAACGTGTGTATCGTTGATTCAGATGTGTTACTGTGTTATTGATTCGCGGTGTGTGTAATTATCTCGATTGGAATTAACGAACTTTAATTAAAAACCTTAACTATTGTGAGCTGACTTGTCCGTGTGTTTTTTTTTTTTTTTTTTTTTGTTTTGTTTCAACCCTGAAAACCCTACTCAACAGGGGACACTTTTACATTGGCGTCCGCGACAGGATTGGTTTGTGTAAAAGTCAGCCAAGCTTGCTTACCCGTTCCTCCTTCCTCGGTTTGTGCCGTGAGTAAGAATAATTCAGTCGATCGATGCAAAATATTGTCGCGAACGTTCCCCAAATTTATGATGGAAACTAACGAGGTCAGTGGGTCAGCAGAGGGAGTATGTAATGTCCCAATTGTGACCGGGTTTATGGGAATGATCCCATGCTATTCTAACATGCCCGGCGATGCCTTGGATGTGTACAGATTCTTCGAGACCGTGGAAGACGTGGCGTTGTTGGCTAGTTGGGAAGAAAAAGTCAAAGTGACGGTAGTTAAGGCTAGGCTTAAGGGAGAACCATTATCAGTCTTCTTCGACTTAAGGGACCAAGGGGTCACTCGGTATGAGGAAATTAAGGAAGGCCTGTTAAAGTGCTTCGGCTGGAGGGACAAGGAGCAGGACCCCTTCCACCAATTGTTGAAAATAACGCAAAAGAAAGGGGAAAAGGTTTACGAATACGGTGTCCGCGTCAAATCGTTGTTCTCACTGGCTGTAGCTCGCAATGGGAACCTTGCTACCATCCGTGATAATGCCGTGAAGGAGTGTTTCATGAAGAGGCTGGATTTCGACATTCGCAGGCAAGTGATACAGAGCCAGCCAGAAACATTGGACCAGGCCATTCAGAAGGCAGAAGAGGAGGAGGCGACTGAAGCAGCTTGTGGGAAGAGAGGGATCACAAGCGAAGTGTACACGAACTCAGAACAAAAAGGGGTGCTCACTGAGAGAGTGGATAGGATTGATAGTCGAATAGCGGATCTCGAGAGGCAAGTTCGGGTGTTAGGAGAGTCGGTCGCTTCTTTGGTTGAATGTATTAAGGGAAATGAGGAATTCGGTAGAAGGGAGAGAGGTGATAGAAGGTGTTACTCGTGCGGAGAAAGGAGGCACCTAGCGAGATATTGTAAAAAGGATAAGACTTTAAACTAATGGGGAGGTCATTTGGACGGTCAGACAAATTACCAGCACGTAAAGTTGGAGCTGACCTCAAGCGTGGATAACAAAGTAGTCGATTTTCTGTCGAGGAATGTCAATGAGATATACCGCTTGGACACGGGTCCCCCAACCCACATAGCCCCAATAAACACGACATAAAATTATCACAAGATAGAGATGAATACTTTGGGCCCATAAAACGCGATTTGCTTAGAGCCCAAGAGGATCAGGGCGTGAGCAGTGGGTCATCAAGATATATAGTTGTGGACGACTGCTTATATAGATTAGGTTACGATAACACCCGTGATCAGCGGAAGGACCAAGTGTGCGTGGGGGAGAGCATCGCCGCGGATCTAATTAAAGCTATTCACACTGACGACATGTCAAAGCACTGGGGCGTTAGAAAGACCATAAAAAACATTGAGAGGCGCTATTACATACGGGACTTAAAGAGGAGAGTCGAAGAAATTATTAAAACTTGCGAGAGGTGCCAGAAACACAATGTCCATAAGGGGAAGGCCCCGTTCCAAAGGAACGAAGTCGCCCACACACCCTTTCAAAAAATTGCGGTCGACATAGTAGGGCCTATGAACACAAGAAGTAAAGGGAATAGGTTCCTGCTGGTCATGATCGATGTATTTACAAGATTCGTCGAGGCATGCCCGTTGAAAGACAAACAGCGTGGTCAGTTAGTAACGCCATCTTTAACAGGATATTTTGCCGCTATGGCGTACCTGAAGTGATAATCTCTGATAGGGGGACAAACTTCTTATCCTCTCTGTTTGCTGATTGTTGTAGGTGGTTGGCGATTAAAAGAAGTATCACAACGGCATACAGGCCGTGTGCCAACAGGTTGTGCGAGAGAGTCAACAAGTCAATAGTGGAGATGATAGCAAAGTATGCAAAGAGGGGTGAGGTTGAATGGGACGAGATGGTATACTCGGCCTGCTTTGCGTAGAATAACTCAAACCACTCGGCCACGAATGAGTCGCCTGCCTTCCTCCTGTACGGTATAGATCCGCGCATACCTAACTTCGAGTACCCCGCGAGGGAGGAAACGACAGATGAGCGCAGAGCTTTCCTGATTACAAAACTCCGTACGTTGAGGGAAGGTGCAAGAATGCGTGCGGAAAATTTTAACAGGGGAAGGAGGGAGTACAGTAATAAAGGCCGTAAGCTAGAGCGGTTTTTGGTGGGGCAAAGAGTGTGGCTGAAGAAGAGCGGCGTGAAGAGAAGCAAATTCGCTGAGAAATACAAAGGGCCGTTCCGTGTAATAGAAATCATAAACCCCACAACATACTGCATAGAAGGGTGTAACTTTAAAGATAGAGAAACTGTCCATGTGGATCGATTAAAGATTTACTATGGACCCCCCGATTCCGGAAGGGGCAGTAAAGGCAGGCCGAACAGGCGCAAAGGAGATCATAGGGAGCCTGAGATGGAGGAGGAGGAGGAAGAAGCCCAAGGAATTAGATGGGTTAGACCTCATGAAGGTGATAAAGGGAAAGCACCCAGTGTCGACAACACGCCTCAAAGCAAGGAGAGTGAGGGAGTGCACGGGGGGCGTTATAACTTACGTCACCGGCAAATTGACTTCCGTCGCTTACACAACGGAAGTTAACATCTTTCGAGGGGAGATATGTAGCACTTCGTGACTATTTCCTTTTTTTCGTTTCGGGTTTCTTTTTTTTTTTTCTCGCCCCTTTCGTTTTATTTCGCGTTACCACTCTTCCATGGGTAACTGTGTATCGGCAGCCAGATTGGCTGGTCGAGGATCACGTGCGGTATTTCCGGTTTACAAGATATATAAGGGGTGACCCACGTTGTGTAGGGGATTTTCGTTCCTGGGATGCCTGGCTCGACCGAAGTGGAAGAAAGAAGAGGATTGGCGTCGGAGTGCTGAAGAGAGAACAAAGAAAAGGATTGGTGCCGAAATAGGAACTGTGCGGTCATAGACTCTAACTCCCTCATATAACGGAAGATTGAAGGAAGACTCGTCAGCACGGAGTGTTTCTTCGAGTGTTTTGTTCACGACCAAGTTTTTTTCTTTTGTCGTGAGTAGTGCTTAGTTAATTTCTTTGTTACGCGCCGTTCTTGCCCCGCTTCGCCACGTGTTGTGAGCCTCATTGTTAAGGGAGGTAAAGGAACGAGGTAAACGTTTGTATTCGTTGTTTTGATTCGGATGTTTTATTGTGACATTGATTCGCGATTCATGTAAATATCTCGATTGGGATTGACGAATTTTAATTAAAAAGGAATTGACTGTTGTGAGCTGACTTGTCCGTGTATCCTTTTGTTCAACCCTGCAGACTCTGCTCAACAGGGGATNTTTTTTTTTTTTTTTTGTTTTGTTTCAACCCTGAAAACCCTACTCAACAGGGGACACTTTTACAGCACTATGCACCAATATCAACCAAGTAGGATGCAATCTATTACACAACCAATAGCAATAATAATAATCAACTGAATAAAGTGGATAAACGCCAAGTGTTTTAATAATAACACAGTCTTGTGTTCAACAGTAAATAATAATAATAATTCGTGATGTATCTCAAATAATTATGAAAAATTAAATTATATTAAAGAATAAATATTTTCAGACATTTATAAATCGATCATCATTGGTATACCTTTAAATATTGAAATTCAAATTTGAAATTGTGTTACAAATACTATACTTACTTGATTCATTAGAAGTACTAACTGTCCACAATAAATCTTTATCAGTGTTGTGTTCGTTACAAATATTTACTAACGTTTTTGACCTCCACCAAGGTCTTCTTCAGGTGCTGACCAACCATTGTCTGTCTTGACTGTTAGAACGATGTCGTCCGAGATGTAAATATTGCGCGTATCACGTTTCACCCCTTCACTTGTTCCCGTTCGAATTCTTTGAATAGGAATCCCCACACCTGTGTGATCATCTCTGTCTATTCAAAGAATTCAAACGGGAACAAGTGAAGGAGTGAAACATGATACGTGCAATATTTACATCTCGGACGACATCGTTCTAACAGTCAAGGCAGACAATGCTTGATCAGCGCCTGAAGAAGACCTCGGTAAAAATCAAAACCATTAGTAAATATCTGTAACGAACACAACACTGATAAAGGTTTTTAGTGGACAGTTATTACTGAATACAGTGTTACAGTTGTAAGACGTTTGTATTAGAAGTTCAAAGATAGCGTCAGATAATTGCAGATTTCTGCACAAGACTGCACGAAGGCCCTAACAAAAATAACAACAACTTTAAGGCAATTCATTTGTCCTGAAAATATAAGAATGCATTAATAAATATATATTGATTATCATTTAAAAGTTAAACTTTTTAAAAATAATATATTTATTCCAAAATATAACACTTAATCGAAAATGTATTTGTTATAAATAATATGTTTTATTTGTACTATTTAACAATAGTAAAAAATTTAATATAAAATATTTAAAATTCATTTAAGTGTTTTATTATTATCTCACTTTCTGTGGTTATTTTGTTATTTAATAACAATAAAAATTAATTTTAATCAAAGTGTCAATTACAGAACAATACTAATCTATATATATAATCGAGACGGGTTGATGATGATAACAAGCGCAGAGCCCAAACGGTTAGGAGTTGAAAGTTGAAATTTGGTATACAGTTAGGGTACGTCACGAAAACGCATACTAAGAAGGGATTTTTCGAAATTCCCCCCAAGGGAGAGAGACAGGATTAAGGCTTAACACTTCTATCAACAATGGAAGTGTTAAGTAACAATGGAATTGTTAAGAGAAAGCGACGTGCAAGACACAGATGCAGATTTTTCATTTTTGCGGGAAATCAAACATATTTTTAGACCCATCTAAAAATTCTCTAATCAGTCCAGAAACAGGGGGACCCAATTCTTGCATTCTGTGAAAACGGGTAAGGTTGACTATAATGTAATAATGTTAATCTTCCCTATCGTTACTTTTGCCCGAGCAATGCCGGGCCTATCTGCTAGTTGTTGAAAAACAAGACCTGCATTTATTTTTATTTGAATTCAGTAAATAAAAATTGTTTTGGTTTATTATTAGTATTAAAGTAAAACACCAATTTATCTATGGTAATGTAAACTGATGCTATCTCAGATAACCAAAAACTCAGATAAAGCCATGGCCATTTCAAATTAAAAATTATGAATATATAAAATTCATATGGTATATCAATTTCAAGCATCTTTTTATACCTTAGAGAATTTAACAATATATAAGAACAACAACTTTTACAACATTCATTATATAGATAATACTTAAAATAGTTTAAGAATTAAAATGTGTTTATTATTGTAGTTACATTTTAATATGAATGATTTATCTCACATTGAAGTTAAATGCTAAAAGGTAACAGAAACCAATAATTTTGTAATATATATTATTATTTTAAACTTTAATGAATTACAGTATAAAAAAGTAGTGTATTGCAGGTTTATCTCAGATAATGTGGAACCTTAGTTAATCAGGGTTCTACTGTATATTATAATATGCAAAATTTTGCTAATGAAATAAATGTATTAAATTACATAGTATTAAATCAAAAAATATTTATTTCTTTTTTCAAAAAATTAAGTAAAAATTACTAAAATACGAATTTCAATAAGCCATATTCCCATCAAAAAAGCATTTATCTCCTTTACTATCAATATCTTTCAATGTTTTATCTTTATAATAATTTATTCAAAAACTAGCAGACCCCGCCACGCCTTGTTGTGGCTCAAAATGTATCTATTATAAATGTATAACACTTCCCCCGTGGGTGGGAATTTTTCGAAAAATTTCTTCTTAGTGTACATTCTCTTAACATACCCTATTAAAACGCAATCAAAAACGTAAAAACCCGCATCTAAAATGATATAATAGAAGCCAAGTTTTTCACAGAAAGCCTTAATTCTGTCCTCTCCCCCACGGGGGAATATCGAAAAATCCCTTCTTAGTGTACATTCTGTTGACATACCCTATTAAAACGCAATCAAAAACACAAAAAACCGCATCTAAAATAGTATAAATAGAAGCAGAGTTCTTTACGGTAAGCCTTAATCCTGTCCATCTCCCCTCAGCGGGGAGAATTTCGACATGTATATTATATAAAAACACATGCGTATTCGAATGCAGCGTTGTGTCAAAATTTCAAAGGAGTCAGTAGGAACAAACAAACATTACATTTTTATTTATATAGATAGATAGAAGATGATCTGCTTTAGTTCATCCTCACAGAAAAGCAAACTTAGGGCATCGTACTTGTAGCGCCATCTGTTGGACATAAAAGCCTTAACCTAGATTATATCTTTTAATTTATATGAATGTTTAACGGAATAATATACAGCTTATGTCCACTCTGAAGTTCCATTCTAAATATTGGTGAAAGAATTTTTGAAATCGGATGAGTAGTTTCGGAGATTACCTGCTGCATACAAACTTACATACAAACATTACCTCTTTATAATATTAGTATAGATGATATATTTACAAATTTTATGTTTTTCACACTGTTATAAATATTTTTATTATTCTAATTAATATTAATAGGATTTATAATTTAAAAAAGTATTATATAAGATTATTAAGTTTCAGTCAGAAAACATTAAACAGGTCATTCTTTTTTAATTTATTGCCTATTATTTTTCTCATTTCATTTCAATGTATTTCATTACTTGTAAATAAACATATTGTTTTTGCTTAAAATAAATTAAAATTTAAGAAATTTTACAATACAGTAAGACCCCACTTAAAGCTGATTCGATATAACGACATCTGTGCAAAGCCTAAAAAAAGCTAAAAATTTACAATGATTCAAATTATTGCAGTATTTAATTGATTATTCCCAATCACAAAGCAATCAGCAAAAGGTGGCAATTTGTCATAGTGCTATACTTTTCTTAAATCTATAATGCAATTTTGGAAAAAATGTATCATCATGGATGGCATAGGCAATATCGACTTCACTTGTCAAAAATTAACTGATAAATGAGTAAATAAAGTGTGAAAGAAGTTATGGCTGAAGGTATCGAAGAATTCTCAACAAGAATAGCCTAATTGATACAGCAGCACTAGGAAATATAGACAAGCAGGATATTGAAGAGTTACTGCAGGTTTCTGGTGAGAGCCTTACCAAAGACAACCTTCAAAAACTAGCAGAATAAGGACTGCATGTAGAAATGGAAAATAGATATTCTGAAAATGAAGTACCCAAAGAATTTCTCTACAGATTTCCTTAGTAAAATTTTGGTAACAGTAACAGAAATTGTTCATCAAATTGTAGCGAATGATCCAGATTTTGAAAGGAGTGCAAAAGCAAAACAAGGCATTTTGGATGCAATCTTCTGCTACCAACATTTGCTTCAGGGAAAAAAACCAACAAATGAAGGTATGTGACTTTATGGCAAAAAACAAGAATTTAAGAGGAACCAGGATCTTCATCACAAAAAATGAAATTTAAATTTCAGTTTCAATATGTTTGTGTTATTTAACACATATTATTACGCAAATTAATATAAAAATAACTTAAAATTAACATAAAATCTGTTTATTTTTGGTTGCATGTTCCCCTTTCCCTATTTTTTTGTTGTTAAGTTCCATCAAGTCGTCGTCGACTCCTGGTGACTTCATGAACAAGTCTTCTCCATCTTGATCTTTCCCTTGTTGTCTCTCGTAGCTCCTCCAGCTTCATTTCTGTGACTTTCTCAATTTCTTCCATCCATCTTATCCGTTGCCTTCCCCTCTTCCTTCCACTTTTCCCAGCATAATATTCTTCTCTAGGGAAACTTCTTTATGCATCACATGTCCAAAGTAGGTCAATTTTTGTTTTAAGATTCTTGACTCTAAAGAGAAGCTTGGCTTAATTTTTTCTAAAATTGAGATATTTGTTTTCTTTTCTGTCCATGGAACTCTAAGTGATCTTCTCCATATCCATAATTCAAATGCATCAATCACTTTTCTTTCCTTTTTCCTTAGAGTCCAGCTTTCATAGCCATATAATGTTACAGGGAAAACCATTGCTTCTACAATTCTTTTCTTAGTATGAATGGAAATGTCTTTATCTTTCATTATCTTGGTGAGATTTGCCATGGCTGTTCTGCCAAGGTTAATTCTCCTTCTGATTTCTCCTTCACAACTTCCATTCCTTTCTATCTGAGCCCAAAAGTATGTAACTTTCTGCCACTTCAATTCTTTCACCATCCACAATGAAATCTTTTAACTCTTCAGTTAACGCTTCCCTATTTACTCTATGTTATAATGACTCTTTTAACGCTGTTTCACTTAGTGCTTTGTCATCTCAAAACACATCCCTTGTGTTAAGTGGGGTCTTACTGTAATATGAATCTTGAATGGGTTAAAAATAAATTATAAAAATTAGGCCTTACATAGTAATTGTTTACCTCATACAATAATGATCTAATATCTGACTGTTGTGTAAAATCTCTTCTAAGAATTCCCAGTAATTCCAAGCATAATGCTTCAAATGAACCTGGTTGATGATTCATGTGTACTTTAATTCGAACCTATTAAAATTATGTAATATTTATTTCTTTAACAAAAAATGTAAATAAAAGAATATAAATAGAATCTTTAAACAATATGAATACAAAATCTTTGAAATTAAAATAATATAAATTTTAATTTTTTAACATATTTCTAAACATATTTTAATATTTTACAAATATTATTCATTGCTCAATAGAATTTATGAAGTTGGCAAGTGGAAAACTTACAGACAGAAAATTGTCTTTTTGATCAAACAACAGATGTCATATTAGATGAAAATTAAAATGTTATCAATCAAAAAATTATATAATACAAGACTTAACTTACAGGCTAGTTCATTAAAGATTAATCAGTAATCAGACTTAAAAAAAAAAAAAATACGTAAAATAACCTAAATAAATTACGTAATTAATTTGGCACTAGAGGTAAGCGTTAGGCGCCATCTCTTATTAACTTTAAAAAAAAAAAAATATGTAAAATAATATATATGAAGAGCTAGTATTGAGAAATTGATAAAAAGTGCATCTTCAGAAAAAAATACAAGCCTAGGCTACACTGTGTAAAGTTTCAACATTTCAAATTCCAAACCAAAACAATGAGAAAATGAAAATTAAGAAAACCCGAGGAAGAACCCAGAAGGGGTTATGAAAATATTTGTTTTTTATTGCTTAGTTGTACTTTGCACTGATTATGGGTTGTAAAGTGTCTTATTTCATGAGAAAATGAATTGTCCATTATTAAAAATATTGTTCATCTTAACAAAGAAAGTAAGTTTGAAAAATGTTAAGAATTGAGAAAGTAGAATATTGAAAGAAGTCATTGCAGAGCTATTTAGTGAATCCTCATTGAACCAATATTCAAGTGAATTTCTTATAATTCAAAATAGTTCTCTTCCTTGAAGTAAAGTACTCCAAAATTGTCTCACCAAATGAATCAAAATCTACCCACTTTTAGATCATCAAATTTTGCTCTAATCCAACAGGATTCAAACCCTTCTTCCTTTCCCTCAAAAAAATAAATAATGAATTCGTTTAAACATATATCCATAGATGAAAGATTTAATACATGTTTATTGCATTAAATCTGTTAATTTGAGACAGAGGAAAAATATTAAATAATATTACAAGAAAATCAAAATACAAAATTTCTTACCTAAATAATAAATAGTCTCATAAATGAAATAATGCTTTCTTAAATTATTACATCATCAGTACACTATGCTTTTCTGATTGAAAAAAAAATTGTAAAATTTCAAAATACAAGACACTTGCTAATTTTTACCTGTGCTAATTCAAATCAATTTTGTCCATATATATACAGTATATATACAGTAATATAATATAATTTATATATTAAAATATCTTCAATAAAGTTTGAATGATTTTAAATGTAATTCCATGCATTAAATAGAATAATGAAAATTCCTTTAAAAAGTCATTAAATTTGTTATTTTTTGTAAGATTTTATTTTTAAGAAACCAGATAAAAATGCAAATCCATTCATTAGATAGATGGAGGGGGAAAAAAGGGAAAGGATTCAAATTTAATAAATTTGGAATTTGTATATAACACAACCACACAATATTGATAAAATTGTGTGGTTGAAAACCATAAAGAACTACATCAAGAAACTGAAACATGGAAATGCATTGGCCAGTTTACCACATGCAATCAGTGGACATCTGAAAAAAAGAACTTGCTTGCCAGATTCTGAAATTACAGAAACTTTATGGAAAAGCTTTTCCTGATCAATTCTCTACCCAAAAACAAAAGAAATTACAATTTTTTTTAATCTGTGAATTTTTTAAATTTTAATATTAATATATATACAAACATAAATACATATATATGTGTGTCTGTAATAATTTCTGATTTCCATTTCTTCATATACAATCCATTAATCTGAACTATCCTGAATATTAAACAGTTTCAGTTAGTGAATGTGCACTTTTTATTTTTTAATAATTAAAAAATACATTTATCTAATTTGCATTAATATATATAAATATTTATATAATAATTTCAAGGAGATTATTTATAAATACAATATAAAAATGAAGTTACACATATTTAAAATTTAATATTTTTAATTAAAAATTAAAATTTCATCTTAAATTAGTCATTTATATAAAGATTTTCTAATGTTAAATAACTTATATTAAACTGATATTTAAAAATGTGTAAACAAATATATTTGACTAAGAGACATAGAAGATTCACTGTAGGAGTTTTGACTTACTGATCCTTCAAGTAATTTGAAATTTCTTAAAACTATTAAAAAACACTTATAGCAATTTTCTGAGCATTATTTCTCTAGAAAAAATAATTATTTTATAACAATAAATAATTATGAAATTTACCTTAGAATGTCAATTATTAAAAACAATAAAAACCTATGAAACAATGCTTTTTGCATAATAACTATCAGAGCATCTTTTAAAGGAAAACTGATTTTTAATAATGGAGTTAATGCCCTTAATAATATAATTGCTGAAGGATAAGAGAGAAATGGTACATAATCTAAAATCTCCTGAAATTTTCTTAAAATATCTAATAGTTGTTGAGGACGTGCCTTTATAGTTTTAGCTAGGGCCTATAACATCTAATGCAATAAAAAAAAATATATAATATATAATATTATTAATTTATTTTCATAAATAAAATAAAATTTGCATTATGATGATTTAGTACTTTTCAGTCAAATACTACATTCAACAAAATTGATTTAAGCATAAATGTAAAAAATTAATCATGAAAAAATATATTTTCTGTGCCCATTGAACTTATCTCAAATATTAAATTTGCTCCAGTCATGTCATATGGTGCTGAATGCTCATTTTTAGTTTACAAAAACATGTTAGACACAAAAAGTGTCAATAAAATAGCTGAACATATGAAACAGCTCATTGTTATGGACTGAGTATGTCAACATGAATAAAAATTCATATTGCAGGAACCTATTTTTGCAATTTTACTGCCTGAATTAAGATATTAACAGCCTATTCACCAATCGCTTTCCATGGTTAAAACTGCCCAGAAATCAAAATTCTAGTAATAAATTTTAAAGTAAATGTAAATATTTTTTAAACTTAAAAGTTTAAACAAAATAATTATTTACAATTATTTTATTCAATCATTCTCAACCTAACTTCTCTTTAATCAACTTTCCTGTATTGTATCTTTTAATGTGTAGCTATGCCAGAGTGCCATAGCTGTTGGTATTGAACATATCCTACTTGTACCAAAACATTATGAAGTTCTTTAGAGAGGATTAAGTCAAACTAGAAAGTAAATCTATCCTTAAAAACTTTCTAAACTCTTTTTATTAAATGTTCATTTATTAATACTACCAAGAATGTTCTTATCATAAAAATAAACAACTATCTTGTTCTCGCAAAAAGACCAAACACATCTGAAACCAGTGAGAGTTGTTTATCATCACAACCTATTACTTTGATAAATCCCTCATTAAAACACTATTGCAATACAAATTTGCTATCAAAATCTATGACACACAACCTATAAAGTAGATTCAAATTTATTTATGCTACTTACAGAGATATATTTATATTTGTTTTGGATCAAAACATTTTGCATTTATGATAACTAGCATAATCTATAGCAGAGGTTTCCAACTTATTTTTATCACAGAACCCTTTTAACCTTAATAAAAAATGTTGCAGGTATAAATAAATTAATTTAAAGCATACTAGGTAGTCATTTGCATCAAAGCTGAAACCAAAAGTAAAACTACAATTAAATATAATCAAAATTAATTAAAATTGAAATCAAATCAATTGAAAATTAAAACAGTGTTTTTAAAAAGCATTTAAAAGTTGTTTTGAAATTTTCAAGTTATAAATTTAAAAATAAATTTGTTTTACGTTATTTGTGTGCAGTTGTGACAACATATATTTTACTGTTTTTATGGTTTCCATTACTTTGTCAAACATTATATCATGATTTTGGTTTGTTCCGTTACCGATAAATTGGTCCCCACTATTTATAAAACTATAAATAACTTTAGCACATGTATAGTCTCGGATTGAGTCCTTGTATCGTCATGCAAAGACTCGATCTGAGACTTTCCATTTATCACCTTTTACAAATTTCATTGCAGAATTAAAAACTTATAAGAACTAAAACGTTTTCGAATATTTTTGAAGAAAAATTTCCATTGCATCGAGAAGAAAATTATTACAAATCTACTTACATTCTCTTCACACTTATGAGAAACTAGAGTCAACGAAAAGACATCGAGAACTTGAAGTGCTGTACTTCTTACGTCAGTTACACGAGCTTCGCTCAATACGATAGATGTTATTTCCGAAATCTTTTTATTCTTTCTTTCCAATGTAACCGTCAACGTGATTTTCTTTCTCAATCGGAACTACAAAGCATTATGTTATGTTAAGCAGTTTGACAAGAGGGCCAACTTCTCAAATTCCCGAACGTTACGTTTTACCGTTTTCTGCTGAGAATTAATTCCTTCAATTATAATTACAAATATATTTTTTATCCTTTCAGTATTCAAACGACTTTTAAGACCGAATTTACAACGGAATATAAAATTTGAGTTAATTAATTAAGCGGCGCCTTTCATAATTTAAAATATACAGACACTAATTTTTTCATCACTTTTCTCTAAGCAAAATTTGCGCTTAACATTTCGAGCCAAAAATGGCTCGCAAGTTGCTTCGAATCCTAATTAAATGCTACAATAAATAATTAGATTGGATCGTAATAGAGAGATGCTCTAATTAATTAAACACCTAGGAAAGTGCGAATTTATAAAATCAAAGCTTTTTCAATGTATTTCACGTCTTCATGTCTTGAAACTTTTTTTCATTGGAGAACGATAGAATAATTCGAACGATTGCAAAGAACAAAACGTTTAAATGTTACCTATGGTTGCAAGATGACCGCGCTTCCGACTGTTCGTGGTCCAGACGGACTTCTCCCGGACGGGAGCCGCCGGCAGGCCGCCTTGTGCCAAATGTCACTAATTATTGATTCATGGTAGTTCTTGAACAAAATAAAAAGAGGAAACGATATAGTTTCCTTTTTTTTATACGAAAACTAAAGATATAGTTAATGTAATCTAACCTAACCGAAGCGCCGCCATCTTGGAACCATAGGTAACATTCGTATAAAAAAACTTTTTGAATGTCTTCATAAAAAAATAGCGCGTTATAAACTCATTTTAAATCTTTACCTTTAAATGGCCTTAAATTCGCTGGTTCCCAAATTACACAAATATTCATTTTGTCAAGTCTTTGACTCAAACGACTTTTCGAACTACAGTTGCAGAACAGAACGTTTTTGAAATTCGAATAAATCGAGTGGCGCCGTCTGCAATTTGAAAAATAAAATAAAAATTTTAATTTTTATTAATTTTTTCATTACTTTCGAATTCAAAATGTATGAGTAAAATTTCAAATGATATTTTACTCGAATAAATCGGTTAATAAATATTCTAACCGATAAATCAACGTATTTACAAGTCAAAGACTTTTTCTGATGTTCTTGTTCCTCTGATATTTTATACTTTTCTGGCCGTTGAAAAAGCCCAACGTCCATAGTGTCTTTTGAGATTACTAATTAAATAATATAGTGTATAGCGATCAATACAGTAAAAAAAACATACTGTAAATGAATACTTTAAGGCCCTGTACACACTAGGCGTTTTTCAACGCGCGTTTTAAAGAACCAAGAGTTCTATGTAGCGGTACACACTCAAACGCCAAGCGCGCGTTAAACGCGCGTTTATAGATTTTTGTTAAAACGCGCGTTTTGCGGGCACTTTATGGGCGCTTTGAGATATATGTGCTGCCTTATAGCGACGATGGAGGAGCACACACAATCAATTACTTTCTCGTCCATTTCCAAACTGAGCCAGTGCTAAACGCCGAACTAACGCTCGTCGAACGCCGAGCTAACGCGCGTTAGCTCGGCGTTTGACGAGCGTTTAGCGGAGCGTGCGCACTGGCTCGGTTTGGAAATGGATGTGGAAGTGATTGCTTGTGTGTGGCTCCTCTATCGTCGCTATAAAAGACGACGGCAGAGGCAAAGAGAATTTTGGGTGCACCCAATATTACGAGATAGACTGACGCATGAAATGTTTGCGACGTTGTATCCAAAACTAAGACAAAATAAATTCAAGTTTTTTAATTCTTTTAAAATACCTATAAAATCCTTTGACGATGGTTGGTCTCTCTTAGATTTCATCAATAAATAGATAAGTTTCGAAATGATCGTTCTCCATTTCAGCACATATATCTCAAAGCGCTCGGCTAACGGCCGCAAAACGCGCGTTTTAACAAAAATCTATAAACGCGCGTTTGAGTGTGTACGCCTACATAGAACTCTTGGTTCTTTAAAACGCGAGTTTAAAAGCGCGCGTTGAAAAACGCCTAGTGTGTAAGGCTCTAAAACGTAATACTGGAATATGTCTTTAATTAATTTATCGACCTGGGAACCTCAGGAATCCCGACTCCGAACCTTCTCATAAGTCTAAAGAGTTCGGATGAAATACCGTAAGTAATGCCTCTAGTCCTTTTTATCATATATCACCAATATTACTCTATTGTGACAAAAAAGTATTAATTTAAGTAATTAATCAACTTTTGAGTTTACTCGCAGCTGAAATTCTTATGGAACTCAGGATGAAAAAAGGTGCGAATAACGGGAAGAAGTAAACTCTGAATAAGAAATTTTTCACCCATACCAGAAGTGTATACTCAATTTATATATGGAACTTTATTACTGTTTTGGGTATTTTTTATTGTACTTGGAGGGAGATAAATATAAAAATATCAAACGGTAAGCTTCAAACAAAAAATAATAATAATAATAAAATAAAGAGAAAGATAAGTGTTTTATGCCTTATAGAAGTTATATAGCATATATCAAGTATATATATATATATTATTTTTTATTTTTATTTTTTAAACTCTTGTTTAAAAAAGTAAATCTGCCAGTATGATTGACTGACTATCCGGAAGACTGCATTATATAGGAAGTGGCGGGGGTCCGAGAAATTCTAAACATAAGTATAGTTTTACAGAGTCTTTTCTAATATCAATGTTAGTCTATTGTGTCGACTTGTGCGCGCAAAAAGGATAACAATACATGTAGTTGAAACTCAACTCAAAGTTCCTTTTCGTTTGTTATTCCACTTCACAAGGAAGCGCCACATATTTACGACGCGGTCTCTCCGTGTCAGGAAAGGCTTTCAAGCCAAAAAAAGCCACGCCTGCTCGATTTTTACTTCTCTGCGATGCACTTCTTTGTTTATGTGTCCACGAGACAGCTCTAAGAGAAACATTTCTCAACGCATATTTTATGCATGCAAACACGACGAGCCGCTGTGCGTGTCACCCATACTTGCTTTGAATTTTCGGGCTTAGTCATGCAGCGTGTCCAAAAAGGCTTAGCGGGTCACGTGGCCACTTCTTTTTCTCTCGGAAATATAAAAGCCGAACGGTTGGCCTCCTACTCTTGCAGTAAATTAATATTAATGTATTAATGTACAGTACTTATATATTCTGTATATGCATCTTATATAGCAGAGTTTCTTATAGTAGTAAATACAATTGAAAATAGATAAAAGATCCAGTAAGAATTTTTCGCGTATTTTCATTTCATCAGTGGGATTGACCACGTGAAGCTTTCCATAAAAGTGCTCATAAATTTTCGTATAAAATACACTTTTTAACATTTAAAAACATACTTTGTAAAAATATATTCTAGCTTCACTGGTCACGACTTACAAGTTAACTGAAAATTATTAATAATATATTGAAATTTTCGAAAAATAATAAAATCTCGACAGGATTATGAAGAGGAGAGTAATTTTGGCCATGTAATTTAGGTTTTGGACTCCGTGGAGGAAGAAAAATAAATTTTTGTGCGTAAGAATAATAAGAAAATCACTTAGTTTTTACGCTTGTCTTCTTTCTTTTATGTTTTTGAAAATTTGAGGAGAAAAGGGCAGATCCAGTGACAAAATCATTCTTAAACGATTGAAAAATTTCTCCAGATAATTAAACGAATATTCTTCAGCTAAATAAGTGTCCTTTTATTTTAGTTATTTTTGTACTTTTACGGTTTAAAAATGTATGAAACAAAATTTTTGTACATTCTGAAGACGTTCTTTATTTCATGTTTAATATGGAAGAACTTAATGCATTATGGATGTTGATTAAAAAAAATTAACTTGACCTCCTCGTCTTTAACTCATAGAGGAGAAGATGGTATTATGGAACCGCAATTACATTTTAGTGAATTGTAAACAAGGTATCATAACTACACCATTTTTTGTGCAAAAAGTACTTGTAAGTATTAAACTAAATGTTCCTAATTGAATTTTTCGTTAGTGTAACTTTAAGTATGGTTTTTGAAGGCTTTTGTACAAAAAGTCAGAAAGTAGGCTTAGAGATAATCGGGTGGTAATATGGAACCTTACTGTATATTTTCAAAAAATGCTTTAATGTAGCCAAAAACAAATAGGAAAGTACAAAGAATGTTAAATAATTACAAAATCATTTACTCCAATGTATTTTAACGCAAAAATGATTTAATATTTTAAAATTAGTCTATATGTAAATACACCATCTAACCCCACCTATCAGGTTTATTTTTATAGACTACAAGAAGGACAAATTAAAATGGTTAAACTATCGCTTTCTTCAATATTGTCACAAGGACAGTGTGCCCATTTATCACAACTGCTACATTTATTGTTATTTTTTAAATAAATAAACATAAATAAAGTTTCAACTTACTTCTTCTTCTTCTTTGTTTATATGGAGATGTTTCAACTTACTTGTAGACTAGTCACTTTACCAGACGATACTCTCACTTCGCGCATGCTCAGTTTCGCTATTTTGTAAACAGACGATAATTTTTTTTCATGAAAAAAAAATGTTTATTTCGATTGTTATCTTACATTTTATTTCTTGTAAAAATAGTATTTAAATTAAAAAAATGTTTTCATAAATAAAATAAAACGTAAAAACATTATTTTATGGTTTGAATTTGTTGGTAATACTGAACACCGGGGGAGTTGGGTTCCGTATTAAAAGCACCGATGGGGTCCGTATTACACGCATCTCCATCTTGGGTTAACTTAATTCCTGTCGGCACCAAACTTTAAAAACGTGAAAATCACACAGATTAATATGTACCCCTAAGTCTCTGGAACGGAATACATGCACCAGTGAACCTACAACTGCACGATTTATATTTTAAAAATAATTAAATTCACTTAGCATTCAAAACTTGCGAATTTTGAAAAAAAAACAAATTTGCTGATTAAATACGGACAACTGTTTAACTGAAGTAAAACGGGTTTTCCCCTTGCTATGGATGTCTGCCTAGTTCAGTTCAGCCACATTCCGCTACAGTTCGCTTTTATCATCAGTTCGAAATGGGGTGGTTCCATAATACCACCTTCTCCACTACGTTATAACCGAATTTGCAACGAAATATGAAATTTGAATAAGATTAAGTGACGCCGTCTGTAATTCAAAATATATAAAAACACTAAATTTTTATTATTTTCGAAACTGAAATATTTCAAAGTTAAATTTCGAATGACATTTCACTCGATTTTAGTTCGTAACCATTAATATATGAACTAAAATTTTATGTTTGATATACTCAAAACAAAAACTTTATTTATCTCATGGCTTATTTGCAGTGGAAACAAATATTACATCATTATTCATTGCAGTTGAACTTCTCATTTGAAAGATATCTCGTTAAATTGGCGATGAATGGCAGAAATGTCATTTCGAATAATGAAAGTCACGGTTAATCCAGCATGGCTAAATATTTCATTTTAAATTAAATATCTACCATCTGTCCACCAGTGGCCTAGTGAATGTAAACACTGTACCCTGACAATTGTCGTGGGTTTGCACCTGGCCAAAGAGCTGACCACCTGAAGTTTTCCGGGTTTTCTTCACTTTGTAACACCTAAATACGGATCCGTTTCCCATAGAAAGTCCTCATGGGAGACACCCCTTGGCAGATCACCCATATATAAAGAAAACAAAGACATCTTAGTGCCATCGAGACAGACCCAAAAGCAATGGAACAGGACATATGATACTTTTTTTTAATCAACGATATATTGATGATATACACGTTTAGATATTGATAAATTTTATTGAATTAATTTTATATTTGCACATCAAATAGTTTTACACAACGTTTGTTGGGTCTGTAAGTTTACACTGGCGCAGTTAAGTAATAAATGCATAACTGAAAACAAACTTAATGTAGTTTTTCTCTGTTTGTATTCTGAATCTATGGGCATTACTCTGCATTGTATTTAACCATTAATACTTATTTACAAGAATGTATTATAAAAATCATTCTTGTATTAACTATTACTTGATTACAATAGAAAATTTTCATTATAATTATTTTCTTTGACCATAAAAAAATCCGTGAGTCATAAGGCCAGTATTTATGGTATAAAAAAAAATGCTGTAATTGGTTTATTATTTAAAACAATTCCTCAAAATCTCCATTAACATAATGAAACATAATTTTTATTGTTCTTAAAGGCATACTATTCAAACCATTTGCAGGAACACTATGAAGATGAATCAGAGTGGTTAGATTGTCAATGGTGCCAAAATATATTGGAATGAAATAATTTTGATAGTATGTAAGAGAAACAAATTCTATACAGATTTTCCAAAAGTATGAAAATTTATTTATACATACTTATACAATTTTTATAATGGTGGTGGACCATATCCAACTATTGAATCTATGAATCTTTATTTTCAACTTTTACAGGTAGTTGAACATTCTTCAAAGTTTCATAAAATTTTACTAATGGAGTTCCTCTTTCTTTCAATTCTCTTTCCCATTGTTTCTAAAAAAAATTAAATAATTTTCTTTTATTTTAACAATATAAAATTTGACACAGTTTTTTTCTTTTTGTTTAGTATTAAGACTTACAATGGCATCAGAATTGGACAAGTCCAAAGGAACAGATTTTCTCCTATCTGTAATTTCTGCAGAATTTTCTTGAATTTTATCAACCAGCTGCTTTAACTTTTTAGAATAATTGGAAATTTTGCAGGTGTTTAAAAAAGATTTAATCTAAAAAAAAATCAACATATTGGTAATACAGTATTGTTACACTCTTATTTTTAATTTGGCGGATATAATTTTTGAACTAAACACTGTCTATTAAAAAAGTTATGTAAATAAGACTACATCTATGACTATTTAATTTTGGGAACAGCCAGAAGTCTGATATACAATTCTGGACTGAGTGTAGAATAACCCTGTAACTTCTTAAGTATTATTGTTTCTCTACTGCAGGAGGATCTTGATTATCATGACATTTGGATGGTTTATCTAGTCTTACTTTATAAATATATCTTTTGAGTGCTTATAAGAATTAGCAGTATATCACCAAGTTAGCTACTTTACCTATTGCAAAATATTTTGTAATCCATTCTCTTTCAATCTTAAAAATTGTCAGCTTGAACTTTTGAATACAGACAGAACAGTTTTAAATATAAATTTAGGTTTATGCTTTTCATCAAATGTTAAATTTAATGCAGTTCTACGGGATTGAATCAAGGAGAAATCAAAACATTTCATGCGCAAAGTATAAAATGGACTGAGCATTTGGAAAAGTAGTGATTACATTGAAAAATTTTTACCTTTTAAAATTGATCACATTATTCTACCTCTTTCAAAACTAATTTTAGGAAATAAAAACCTTATCAATCAACCCACATATAATCTAGCTACTTGAAATAAATTTTAAAGCTTGTAATCCTGTTTTATAATTTTTCATTACTGCATAATGTGTAAAGAGATTTTTATCATTAAGTCTTCAAACTGTAATTGATTATAATTTGCAGAAGTGTAATAAAATTGTAATAATTAAACAAACATTTTTAATAGAATACTTACACGAGCAACAGTTGGTAATACTAACTCTGGAAATCCAATAGTATGAGACTGAGACTGTAAATATTCAAGCATTAATTCATAAACTAATTCAAAAACTGTATCTTTAATGCCATTTTCTAGCAGATGATATCTTGATAGTTTTAAAGCACAGTCAAATTCCATCGGTACCAAATTGCTTGAAGTACGTTTCTTTTTGAAATCCATAATATTCAGTGTCTAAAAAAAGGAAAATGTTTAGTAGTTTACATCTATGAATATACTTAATAAATAATTATTAAAAAAATAATTACCTCACATATATATGGTAAAATAGGAATAAAACTATCTGTAGCCTTAGACAGAAACATCAAACCTTTGACAAGATGAAAACGTACAGGAATATATCTGGGTGTTGGAATCAAACTGTAAACAAAAATTAAGTCAATTGTACAGCTTAATTTCACTACATAATATTTCATANAAGCACAGTCAAATTCCATCGGTACCAAATTGCTTGAAGTACGTTTCTTTTTGAAATCCATAATATTCAGTGTCTAAAAAAAGGAAAATGTTTAGCAGCTTACATCTATGAATATACTTAATAAATAATTATTAAAAAATAATTACCTCACATATATATGGTAAAATAGGAATAAAACTATCTGTAGCCATAGACAGAAACATCAAACCTTTGACAAGATGAAAACGTAGAGGAATATATCTGGGTGTTGGAATCAAACTGTAAACAAAAATTAAGTCAATTGTACAGCTTAATTTCACTACATAATATTTCATATAATAAATAATGACTTTCCTAACATAATAAATTTCACATTATGTTGAACTGAAAATGATATGTCTACATACATTCATTGACAGAAAAGATATGCACCCACATAGAATTGTTCAACTACTGTAATACTTTGTGCACAGCTATGTCTCTGGCAAGTATATAAACAGTGGCGGCCTTAGGGGGTGGCGAGCAGGGCAATCGCCCGGGGGCCTCGCTCTTGGTGGGGCCTCGCACAACAACCAAGTAAAAAAAAGTTGATATTTAAAACTTTTTATTTTATCCTTGGCTATTAGTTATAACAATAAAATAAATTTAATTTATAGTACAGTATATATTAATATTAATAAGTGCCTACTATTTCAATTCACATACTTTGCACAAAGGACAAGGGCCTCGCAAAGTTCTGCCGCCCAGGGCCTCGCAAAGATCAGCCGCCCAGAGCCTCGCAATGGATAAGGCCGCCGCTGCATATAAATGATTACAGTCATAGACTGATTTCATTCTAGGTTATGCCACTAAAGTGCCTTAAAATTGCTATAAAAAAGAGGATCACTATGTTCAGAATTATCAGTATACCACTTGTTTGCAAGTCTTTGATAATGCCTCAATTCTGACATTCTGGTCTGGGGTCCATCTTGTATGACAGTTGATCATTCCTAACAGTACTGTGAGGGATATTAATGGAATGGCAGTATGTTCAGGAAATCATACACCCTTCCATGTGTTGCCTTCCACAACAGGACTACAGTCATTTTCTGGCAAGATAATGCTTAGTCACATACAGCTAAGTTTCCCAGGAGTGTCTATGTCACATTGCCACGTTTCCTTGGCATGCCTAGCCTCCAAATTTTCCACACATTGACATTTGTGGGACCCTATGGGATACTAGCTTTAACCATCTTCAAGTACAAGGGATCTAGAGCACTAGTTGCAAATCTTGCACAGGATAGCACTCAATACTGATATGTCTTCCATGTCTGATTATTCGTTGCATGTATCCAAGCAAGAGGAGGTCTTACAAGATATTAAAGGTTCCTTTAAATAATACTGTTGTTCCACACAAAATTGTCCTCTTGCTACAACATTGTAATCAATTATTACATTCATGCCAATAAAGTTTCATTTGATTCCAATACTTTCTGCTAGGTGTATAACTTTTTTCTCAATGAAAGTATTTTGTAAAAAAAGATCATTTCTAAAATTTAAAATCTATGAAAGTTTCATCCTTGATAGATAATGAAAATTTTATTGGTCAGTAAATTACTTACTTTATTGTTCCAATAGTAATTTGTACTAAAGGACAGATTAAACTTTCTAGATCATTTTGATTTAGTGTTGATAACAAACTCATCCAAAATAATAAGCAATGAATATACCGCCAATTATAAACAGCACGAACAGCTTCCTGTAAAAATTCAATAAATTTAATTTATATGTAATTTAACTTTTGCAAAATCATTGAGTATTTTCAACTGAAAAATTATTATATTTGATTTACCCTTGTCTTTGTCTTGATTGCCGTGTGTAAACGTATACTCAAATGTCGGATGAAGATGGAGCCATGTCGATAAGCTACCGAAAGATTTAAGGAATATAATTCTACCAATGATCTTTTCATAGAATTGATCAAAGGCCACAATGTTTTGCTTGTAAATTTACAGTTTTTTACATACTCTGCATACAATTGCTATAAGAAAAATTACATTTTATTAATAAATGCTCAAACTACAAGTATCCCTCTACAACATGGCATTCCTTCAACACAGTTTTGCTCTAACACAGTTCAAGAACTGGAGACATTCCCATACAAAATGTCATAATTTTTATGTGCAAAAACTGTCATTCAATGTATTCTTTAATTCAAGTAAGCATGCATGTTGTCTCATAAATATATGCCCACAGATTTTAGAACATTAAAATTTTCAATGTTTTTTTGTTCCTTTCATCAATTTTCTTTAATGAGAACTGATTGTACAACTGATTATATTTTTCTCCTTCCTTGTCCTAGCTTCCTATTCTAGCTTTCCTATAAACCAGGCATTGTCATCACTGCCAATAGTGCTCTAAATAAAACTGAAAGACTGTCAGTGTGTCTTGCTTTTATAGTTTAAATTAAAAGTTACTAAATAAAAAGATCAAAATTTTAAAGATGTCTTAGGCAAACCCAAGCAAATGAATATATCAGATTTTATGGAAAAATGTAGAGAAAAATCAAGATGTTGTTGATACTTCACATTATGGTCAATAGGAAAACTTTTGATGTTATTTTGCCAAAAAGAAAATGTCCTTATTTAATGGTGTATAGCAGTAAAGTAAAAAATAAATATTAACATGTAATACTTTTGTTGTAATTATTAAAGCAATCAATAATTAACTAACAAACTTATGTAATGAAAAATCAACATAATGATGACCAAACTATTAATATTTATTGTGGCATTGTCATAATGTTTAATTTTTAATCACCGTTTAGCTTAAATAACCAGGCAATAAGCTTTTCGTACGTGATCTTGGTTTCATTAGTATCATTCCCCTGTACATCATACTTTTCCCAATAACAATAGAGTCATGCTGGTTGTCTAACTCCATTCTTGAAAAATTTTTTAATTAAAACCATGTGATTTCTGATCCAGACAGGAAGTGTGCTAATTTCATGCCAGAATTTGAAAAAATAATGCAACTATGTATGTAAATTTATTTGATGAATTCAGATGATTTGTTCAAAAAATTGTTGCAGTCAGCTAACAAGCTTTAATCCCAACAAAATGCATATCATATGAACCATGTGTGACAAATACATAGTTCAAATTATACATAAGAATTAAATTATTATAATATTCGTTTATTATCATTAAATTTACTATTGATATATTGCAAATAGTCAAGCTTTTGTACATAATTTAGTAATATTTATAGTCTGTCAGTGTGCTTATAATGCATGCACACAAGCACATACATATATAAACAAATCAGCAATAGTTTTTGTATTACTATTGTGGCCGCCAGCGCCAGAGATCCTGAACACTGTCTGGCAACACTTGCCAAGATCACGAACTCTGTCTGGCAACACTTGCCAAGATCACGAACTCTGTCTGGCAACACTTGCCAACAAGAGTGGCTGGCAACGTCAAAAAAGAAAAGGCGCGAAAGTTCGTTGGATTTTGTCCGGGTGTTGCCCGAGGATGTCTGTGACAGTTCTAACCTTTTCTAATAAAGTTCTTTTTTGTTACTGTTCGTGTTTGCCTGCTTAATGTTAGATCTAAACATCAGTAGGATTGAATNACAAATCAGCAATAGTTTTTGTATTACTATAAATATTTTCTGCACTGTTCATTAATATCAGTTTATAATAATAATAATAATAATAAAACTGCTTTTTCATCTAAATAGTATGTTTCAGGATAAAAAAAAAACCTTATATTCTCATTTACAATGCCAAATATACTATACAGAAGAAATTGCACTGTGTTTTGGCATTAAATTTATTTGTTTGGTAAATTAAATATATGCAAGTACTTTCAACATTTCAAAATGTCTTCCTTTTGTTAAATTCCTGTCAGATGTTTACTCATCCATTTAATTTACTATTGAGAAAGAACAAGACAGAAAAGTCACATGTTTACATCTAGCCTCAAATAGAACCACCACTCATCTGGCTTACACTGTACACAACAAGTTCAACTCAGCTCCTTATATTATACCAGTTTCTTCCTTTCAATCTCCTATGTAAACATGGCTATGTTTGTTCTCAATCACAGGGCATACTTGTACCCCTCTTCTCCAGTATTGATACAAAATGAACTGCAAATAGTAGCTATCACTGTATGCAATCAGGGTTTATTTATTCTTTAGTCACATTTTATATATCAATAACACTTTCTGTATTAATTTGTTTTAAATTTATTTAAATTTAAAACAAATTAAATTTTTATCACACACATGTGAAAGCTAACACATGTTTATGTTAAAAAATGTTCTGATGTTTGCATAATGTAAAGAGATTTCAAAATCAATATTCAAATTTTATATATTCTTTTTTCACCCGAGTAAGACATTTTGAAATGGTGAAAGTACTTGCATGTATTTAATCATGAAATAAATAAATTTAATGCCAAAAAATAGTACAGTTTCTTCCATATATTTCAGGATGTACCAAAATTTGAAATTTGGAAACTGTTTTAGCAATAGATTTAATTAGAATGGAATAATTATGCAGTATTAAACTGTGTTCTTATGTCTTAAACATCCAACAGATGAGAAGTGTTAAAACCACAAGTTGTAAAAATGAATTTCTCCTATTTGACACCATCACAGAATTTTTAACTTAAATTATTAATATATTAAATAAATGATAATCCAAATTATGTAAATAAAACTGTTATATTAGTTAGTTATTTAATTACTATTAAATAAAATATAATCTTAAAAAATAGTTTCATATATCATAAATTATTAACTACATTTTATTCTTTACCTGTAAAGTATAACCTAAGTACTCCGAAGGTAACGACCTAGCAGTGCGGACGATACAGAGAGAGCAGAGAGTTCTCACACTCTCTTCATCATTACTCCAGAACTTAATGAGTGCCTATTTAAATAATTTTACATTATTGAAGTATTATAAAGCAATGTATAATACAGATTCTTAACAATTTTCAAACTTACCGTAATTAAACTTCTTGAAATTTGAACAAATATTAAATAAAATGGAATAAGATGTAAAATATGTTTCAACAGGGTGGTAATGGTTGCTGGTTCAGAAACAGTAGCTGAAAACTATTTTAAAAATTTTGTTCTATTAGTAAATTAACTAAAAATTATTACATAATTTACAATAAAACACCAACAAAAATGACATTTACATCTTTATCTTACACGATATCTATCTGAATGAATATTTTATTTGATTTCAAGTGTTTCCGAAGAATATTACTATCACTATTATACTGATTCAAGAATAATTTTTATATAGAAAATATACCAATAAAAGTAACTAAACAAAAATTGTTTTATTTTATAGAATCATCTTTTACTTTGGTTAGTAGTATTTTATAGGTTGATTACCAAAACGATTTACAGGAATCTTGAAAAATTAGGAACACATTGTTCAACAGAGGTTAATGTAATTTTATATAAATGATTGATTGAAGATTAAACTAATAAGAAATTATTGCATTCTCGGTAGTGAAGAGTGAAAACAAAGCTTAAAATAAGATATAAAATTTAATGTTGAACTTATTCGTACAGAATAAATAAGTGAACATGAAACAATAAATTCTAATTTTCTTTCATAGAATTTATCAAACGAAAAGAGAAAAATATATATCAAACAATTTTGAAAAATAACAGGTTTTATGTACATTAAGATTCTCATAAAGTCATTTATATTGTAATGAAAATTTCTTTATGATTTTTAATATTCAGATGATATAAAAAGAGAGAAACAATAATTACTAAATAACAATGCTTTGTCCAAATTAAAATTTTGGTTCTAAATTCAAATGAAAACTTAATCAAAAATGTAAAAATGTAAATTTATAGATATATAATAATACATACCATAGTAATATCAATTAAATATGATTGCACAGAACTAGAAATTTTCTTCCAAGATTCACATTCAGAAGGATTCACTTGATTTTCATTTTCTGACATTTCTGGTTTTGGCAATTTTAAAAACTTATGCAAGGCAGGCACTAGTTCAGTGTGACATAAACATACAATTCCATCGACTGCTGTAAATAAATATATCACATGCTCAGATAATCTGTAATTCAGAAATATATGGTTTTTTTTATTTTTATACGAGGGTCATCCAGAAAGTAACGACTGTTTGGTTTTAATAAATGAAGGAAATATATTTTATTAACAAAAACATCACATACAAAATTGAAGCTTAATTTTTTCTCTACATAATCACCGTCATTATTTAAGCATTTGTCATATATATCCACAAGCTTTAGAATCCCCGTGTCATAGTAGGCTGCCGCCAGTCCATTAAGCCAGTTGTTTACAGCATTCTTCACCTCATCATCACTTCCTGCACAGGAACTCTTTGAGCTTCATGAAAAGGCTAAAATCGCACTGAGCAAGGTCTGGACTGTAGGGTGGATGATCAAAAATTTTCCATTTAAATCGATCCAGCAAGACTGTTGTTGCAGCAGCAGTGTGAGGGCGGGCATTGTCGTGAAAAAGCACAATACCGCGAGAAAGCATTCTGTGCCTATGATTTTGGATTGCTTGCCATAGTTTTCTTAGGGTGTCACAATATCAATCTGCATTGATCATAGTGCCTTTTGACATGAAATCCACCAAGAGAACACCCTTAAGATCCTAAAAAACTGTCGCCATAAGTTTTCGTGCTGACAGAGTTTGTTTGAATTTTTGCAGTTTTTTTGGGTGATGAAAGATGATGCCACTCGAGTGATTGGCACTTGGTATCTGGGGTGAAGTGAGACACCCATGTCTCATCGCCAGTAACAATTTGATCAAGAAAGGCATTTCCATCTGCATGATACCGCATCAAAAATGTCAGTGCTGCACCCATTGTCTGTGTTCTGTGCTGGTCACTTAGTTGCCGAGGTACCCATCGTGCACAAATTTTGTTATAGCCAAGATGTTCAGAGACAATTTCACCAAGCAAAGAACAAGAAATTTTAGGGAAAGAAACGTGTAACTTGTCCAAGGTACGCGCTGTCTTGCACAATTTTGTTCTTCACTGGATTGTTCAAATCATATGTGATAAGTGACAGATGTCTGGGTCGAGTTTCGTCATGCACATTTGTTCATCCATTGTTAAACATTTCACACCACTTTCTCACCACTTTAGTTGGTGAGAATGTTAAACATTCTCACCAACTAAAGGAAGTGTATCACCATACACTTCCTTTAGTTGACAGTAAATTTCTGCAGGTTTCAACTTCTGAGCATTCAAAAATTGAATAACGCCTCTGATCTCACAGTTGGCGGGACTTTGTATCACACTATTCATTGTTGACAATCACAGAATGCACAATAACTTGTTTCGACTAGCACTCACAACACTGAGAAAAGATGTCAAGGAAACTATTCGACCTTGGATAGTAGCCTGAGATCAAACTGCACAGCCGGAATGTGCAATAGGTTGTTACTTTCTGGATGACCCTCGTAGATATTAAGAAGACATTTTATTATATTCATTACAAATTCAGTCAGGCTAATGCTGAGAAGTAGCACTCAACACATCCAGCCTGATCTATCTTGAAACATTCTTAAATTTATTTGAATTTGGATCATTAATAGTAGTAGATGCATCTTTAACTGCCTCCACCTTCTAGTCATCAATACAGTATACAATACTATGAAAATTTTAAAATTTTTAACACTCACACTGAAAACATTATTTCTTAATATATTATTGACATGTTATGTATCTATCTGCAAGTGTACAGAAGAAATGTAACCTAAAACCATAAAATATTTTACATTCCAGTTTTGTTAGATGCAAAAAATAATCATCATTATGCCAAAATGAATTTATTCACTAACATTTTTAATATCACTTTATTAAATAGTACTGCTGTATATTACAAAATTTTCATATTTAATAGTTATTATTTAAACATAAGCCAAATATTTCAGATATCTTTCTACAATTTCTTAACCTTAATTTAACCTGCAATCACTTGTTCTTATTGTTTAGTGTGTACGGCAAAAGCAGTATTCCACATTTATTTTTCATGCACAATTGCACTACATGTGATTTCTATACCTCAGATTTAATGATATTTAAAAATTCTCTAATGTGCCTTCTGCATATACCAAATTTAAATATTATAAGTAGTTAAGTTTACAAGGTATTGTTTTGTTTACACAACAATGTCTTTTCAAAAGCTGCTTTAGAGAGACCTTGAAAGCGTGTACTGTACTAATGTGAAATTAAAGCACCAACTAATACTTGTAATTCAGTTAATATGAACCAGTTTATTGTAAGAACAAACATTTTCAACTGTCTTTAATGTTACGTTCAAAACATTTATTTTGAACTTAACATTAAAGACAGTTAAACATTAAAGTTCAAAACAAATGTTTTGAACGTAACATTAAAGACAGTTGTTTTTACAATTAATTGAAAACAAAACAATTAATTGAAATACAAAACTGAAAACATTTGTTTTTACAATAAATTGGTTCATAATAACCAGATTATATGTCTTAGTTGGTACTTTTAATGTATCGCAATGGTTTTGTAGTATCTTTGAATATGAAATGAATTCAGCTGGAAATGACTGACAGGAAGGCTCAGAAAGACTAGCTAGTAATTTTTCTGTATTTATGAGGCATGAAATAAAGGCAAAAACATTTAATTGTTGAAAGTCATATATTGTCCTAGCCTATCTTATGGAAACAAGCAATTAAAGTTACAGTATCTCAGACCACACTGGTCATTATGTGATACATAGCCGACAAACACTGATAATGTCATTAGATGTGTATCAGATGCATATCTGATACACATCTAATGACATTATGGCATATCTGATGTGTATCAGATGCATATCTGATACACATCTACTTTTTTTTGATAATTACAAGAGACCTCCATAACATTATTTTTGATATCAGTTCACCAAAAATGATGTAAAATCAGAAAATTGCTGTGCATGCATGCATACATGTGAAAAAAAGGTATATCAGATGCACTTGAAAGGTAGCAAATTTCAGCATCTGCAATAAGTGGAAAAATTTCTCAGACAAACTTTAACACAGTTGGATAGCATGTTGCATAAAGATATGATGGAAACACAGTTAAGTAAATTAATCTGGTGAAAAATGCCTCTGAAAAAAATTAGCAGGTATGGAAAATCACCACTATTGCATGTGGTCATGGATTAATACTGTAACACAGTACTAGAAATACATGATTCTGCCAACTTTTGTTAAATTTAATTAGAAATAATATGATTGATTAATACAATAATTTAAGTCATTTGAAAGAAAAAAATAGAGGCAGTAATCTGAATAGTATAGTTGATAACACACTTGTTTGCTTTCTAGGAATTGTGTGGCTTGATTCCCATGTTAGATCTACTTTTTCTTTTAGATGTCTCAAAAAATGAATTAATTAAACTTATGCACCTAGTCATGAAGATAAAACTGTTTATAATTATTAGATGTAATATGAGATGTCAACATTATTTACTTGTAATTCTAAATTATAATAATGACTGAATTTAAACCATAAAATTATAGCCTAAATGAGCAATTATTTATTGTGATGTCATTACAATGACAAGTTGCAATTTTTAAATCATGTTTTATTTATTGATAATTTAAATTAAAAAATTAATTGGGGTATCCAGTCTCATATGTGATCTCTGTTTTGGGTAGTGTCTTGCCCGATACATCATACTTCTCCTGATAACAATCGAGTCATACTGGTCATCTACATAATTCCATTCTTAAAAAAATTTTTGAGCTGAAATCACTGATTAACTATGTATGACCTTCCAGTCTAGACTGGAAGGTCATACACAGTTAATCAGTGACTCCAGCCCCTAAGCTTTCTATATTTGATCACAATTCTATTTAACACTGAAATCAATGAAGAACAGACAGACAACAGTGGAATGTATAGGTCTGCAATTTAAAAATTGCACCTCAAAAGTCAGTGATGTTTCATTTAGGTATATGTTAGACTTTTGATTCTTTATACTTATGCATATATTTGCAATTTATTCACATTACCTGCATCGTCATCTATTTTATAATCTGTCATTTCTTCTCCACCTGCTCGTTGCACTGCAGCTTTAAACCCAGAAATAACTTTTCTTATTGTACTAGCATCATGCTTTTCCTATTAAAAGTTAAAACAGATATACATTTACATCAACATAACACCACTTTCAGTTTTTACTTATTTTTTCTTAAAAATATATTCAAATTTGAAAACAAAGGTTTAGTCTTCATATTCATTAAATTAATATTTATAATAAGTAGAAATATTTTTTATTTTTTTACATAATTTAAAGAAACAGAAATCATCTGCGAAGTTTAATTTTCTAAATCTGAAGAGTTATTTTTCATAAACAAAGAAATAAAAGTCTCAACAGCCAACAGAACTATCTTGCCTGGGAGGGAAAGAAATGGGGCTTTCCAGGTCATTAACAAGTAAAATCCCCACAACTCAAGAGTACAAATTGATTCATAGAATGTGCAAACTATGTAACAAAATGGAAAGCTTGAAAACTTGAAAGTGGAAATGCAGATTAAAAGCCTTGAATCAGTGAGTTAATGTGAGACTCAATAGGAAGGGTCAGGAGAATTCTCTAGTGATGATGAGATTATTTGGAAGAAACAAAGAAACGAATGGTATGGCAATAGTCCTTGGAAAGTAGGTTAAAAACTTCTTGATAGAAACAGATTTGATTGGTGACAGAATAATGATGGTGAAACTGAAGGCAAAACCTAGCAATATTGCACTAATATGAGTGTACATGTCAACAAGTACTCATCTAGATGAGAAGGTAGAAAAAATATATACATAAATGCAGAACATTATGAATAGAGAAAGGAAGAATTGTAATAATGGGTGAAGAAGAAAGCAAAGGAAAGGTAATAAGTGACTTTGGTTATGGAATATGGAATGAGAGAGGTGAAATTCTTATCAATTTTTGTAATGATTGGGAGTTGTGACAGCAGCAAATACATGGTTCAAGAATCATGTGAGGAAGATAGACATGATGATAGAGACAAGTTCAAGGTAGATTACATACTAATAGAATAGAGACATAGGAACAACATCAAGAAAACATCTGCATATCCTAAAGAAGACATATAAACAGACTAATAGTTATTGCTAAACTACAGGTATGTTTAAAAAGGATGAGACCACCTACTGTTCAGAAGAGATGGAATATAGATGAACAAGGAGGAAAAACTACAGAGAACTAAATAAGCCCTGAGAAGAGTAATGGACAAAGCAAGAAAGGATTGGTTAAAAAGCAAATGTGAAGAAATTGAGCATTTGGAGACAAACAGTAAATATAATGTGGAGTAAAACTGAATAAAAAATTCATGCTGTTTAAAAATGAGGATAGGAAGCCTGAGATGATTAAATCTAAGCATGGTGAGAGGTTGATGAGGAAAGAGGAAATTATCTCAAGGTGGAGTGAATATGTAAAGGATCTTTATACACAATAGGAAGTGATAGAATGAGACATAGAAGGAAGAGAATGTACATGATGAAAAAGGTCTTCCTATACGATGGAAGAAGTGGAAAAAGCTCTTGGAAAAATGAAGGTTGGGTAGGCTGTGGGAACAAATGGAATACCAGAGGATTTCGTGAAATGTCTAAAAGAAAGAGGAATGTCCTTGCTGCTCTTGCTGTATAACAAGACACATGAAACAGGAGAATCACCAAAAGAATTCCCGGACTTGATAATGATCCACTTAGAGAAAAAACCAGGTATTACAAAATGTGGAGACTTTAGGACAATCAGTTTAATTTCACATGCAGCAAAAATATTTATAAGAGTGATTAATAAAAGACTGGAAGATAGGATAGATGAATTTCTGGGTGAAGAACAATTTCGTTTTAGAAGAGGCAGAGGAATGAGGAATGCTCTGGACTAGTAAGAATGATCAGTGAAAGACTCTTAGAAAGGGATAAAGCATTTTGCATATACTTTATTAATTCTGAGAAAGCATTTGACTGAGTGAGCTGGAATAAACTTATAACAATGCTAAAAGAAATATGAATTAAGTGGGAAGAAAGAAGATTGATATGAAATCTATCATGTGTGGTTGTGAGAATAAAGAGGAAAGAATCTGAAAGAGTGATGATTGACAGAGGAGTCAGACAAGGTTGCTGCCTCTCATCTATCTTGTTCAATTTGTATATGGAAATGATGAGGGGTGAAGCTGAGATGATGTAGGAAGGTGTAAAAATTGAAAGAAAAGAAGATAGAAAATGAAAAGTGTATGGTATGTAGACAATATGACAATACTGGCTGAAGAACAAGATTTGAAAGAAGTGGTGAGGAAGCTTGAGGAAATGTGCAAAACCACGACATGAAAATAAATGCAAAAAAAAAAAACAAAAGTATTAAGTGTAGGAAGAAAGGAAGACAGATGGCTGGTGTTGAAGGGGAGAGAGTGTGTTCTGTTTCAGATATATCAGCCACATTCTCACAGCAGACTGGAGATGTAAAAAAGCTTGGATGAGAATGGGAATTACAGACAAATTTTATGACAATGAGAACAATATTTTGTGGGACTTTGGATTTGAGTTTGAGAAAAAGACTAGCAAAGTGTTTTATGTGTGGAGTGTGTTCTTGTACAGAGCAGAGACTTGGACATTGAGAAAAGTAGAAAAGAAACTGGAAGTATTTAAGATCTAATATAGCAAAAAATACTCAAAATTAAATGGACAAATAAAGTGTGCAATGAAGAAGTTCTCAGAAGAATTAATGAGGAAAGAAGCTAGCTAAATACAATAAGGGAAAGAAGGCCAATTGGATAAGACTTATTGAGAGGTTCAATATAAGGAATTATAGAAGGATGAGAAGGGAAAAAAAGAAAAGGAAGAAGAAGGAAGATGCTGGATGACTTAATGGATAGCATTGGATATAAGAGAATGAAAACCTTGGTGTGGAACAGAGAAAAATGGTGGCAGAGTGGACATAGCTGAAGAACCTGCTGTTTTTGAAGCAGAGAGCCAATGATGATGAATTTACTATGAAGAAGTAATGTTCATCATTAAAATATTTATGAAATAATTATTTTTAAAAATTTAATATATAGAAATATATGAAGTAAAGGATGTATTTTTAAACTCATTAATGAGTCAATGTGATTAACATCTCAAAAGTTACTAATCAAATTGTATTGTTATAATTGGAACATTTCATTGATATAAAAAATTATTTAATAAAGTAATACAAGAATTCAAAACAAACTTTTAAAAAATAAGTTTTGAGTTTCTATTAGGGAAATTGGTCAATTGTTTCTTATTACTTTCAATATATCCCAATAAACAGAGATTTATTCAAATAATATTTTGCTTTTATGTTACTTGTTATAAAAATATTGTACAATATGTATTGAGAAATCTTTTTTCCTAAGTAAATGTGTTATTACCTTTAGTTCTGTTTTCCATTGTTTTACAAGTTTCTTGTTTATTTTTTTATTTTCTATGGAATTACTTTCCTCATTGTTAAAGTCTTCTGTCTCCATCTAAATAACAAAATGTAATTAATTTATAAACTGTTCTGTAAGTGAACTTTTAAACTTTAAAATATAAGTAATCAATTCCAACCTTCGACATACCAGTAAGTTGTTTTCTGTATTCTTTCTAAACACATGCCACTGTCTAATTTCTCTAATTTAATTATACTGATAGTTATTATTTAGGAAAAACTGTAAATTCTTTTCATTACGCATTTTCTTTGAACTTTTTAAGATACATATTCAATAGACGATTCCAAAACACATCGAATATTTTGTTCTCTACCCGTATAGAAACGCTATAAACAAAAAACCGCGGGACTACTTCTCGACTCTTCACCGCCCTGGTTGCCATTGCTTGAGCTCGTTTCCGTCGTGGAGTAACACGTTGGAGGCGTACGCGTACGAATCGTGTGACGTGACAATTTTTTTAACGTCACTCAAGTCACCCACGTGACATCTCTGACGTATTTTCCCGAGATACCGTTTTTTTTTGTAAAATACAATAAATTACGATATTACCGGATACATAACTAATGCAATGTTTAACAAACTGTGGTTTCCGGTCTCTTCGGTGTCCGAAAAGTTCTCGGAAATACATCAGAGATGTCACCCGGCTGAGGAGTGTGACGTTTATAAATAGTCACGTGGAAGAAAGTTACGAAAGCGATTTGCTGTACAGTATTCGGAATTATTGCTTTTATGACGTCATTTATAGTCTAAGAGACTAATAAAAATCGATCCATTGATTTGTCTGCTTTGTAGTTACCGAGTAGGTGTAATTTTTCAAATATATTTGCTTCTTTTAATAAATGATTTATTAAAAACCACCACAAAGCTGTTAAGATCATAAATGACGTCATAAATATGAGAAAACCGAATGTCTTCCCACAGTTTAAAGTGCTAGGTAAATCGCCTTTGTAATACGATCTTCGAACTTCAGCCATTTTAACTTTCTTTATCGTTACTATTGTACTCTCCACTGTTCTTGTGGAATGAATAAATAACTCGGGAAAAGTTTATGGTTTCTTTATACAGTACCATAAGCCAAATTCCAACAATAACTCATTAACAATGATTGTCAACGTAACCAGATTCGTCTTCTCTTACATATAAAGACTATTGTTCATGTTTTTACAAGATATCCTCCTCCCCTTATCGTATTTTCGGCCAATCCTTGTTCGATGACTACGGTCAAAATTTGTCACGTGAGAATATTTGAATCGATTCTTTGTTTCAATTTTAAAATATTTCGTACGTAATTAATTGTTCAAGAATATCGAAGGGGGAGACATTGTGTTTTCGTAGAGTTGTTATGGATGACAACGTCCACTATTTAGAGGTAAATACAATAGATGCCCTATTTGAAGGGTCTTGGAATTGTAAAAATGTCCGTTAATGTAGGTTTCACTGTATTATTAAAAGACAATATGACACTCCAAATAATACTGTTGGAATATAACAGAACTGTAGAATGCCTGTACGAGCAAAAAAGTCAAAGGAACCATACCTCTACACGCGAACTTTCGTTTCCAAACCATTGGTGGAACTCACGATCGCCATCTTGCTGCTACTGGCCCCTATTACGGCGACCAGTGCCAATAACATACATAATAAAAGCATTACCTTCTATTCTACTTACCGAAAACAGTTTTTAACTCGAACCAGTATTGCTGTTTATTCTCACAAAGAATCAAATGGGGTAGACGGAAAGACAGAAAAACTTATGACTCTAGAAATAATGAATGCAGGTACCAACCTAGTCTGGATCCCAGAATACAGCTCGTTATGAACAAATTACGATGTTGATCTGGAGCCGTATTCTGGTCACTGTCTCTGTTCTCCCATCTCTCGCAAACCGGTCGCTGATTGGCTAATCCAAATGATTAGCCAATCAGCGACCGGCTTGTTAGAGACGAGGGACCAGAGACAGTGACCAGATTATGGCGCCAGGTTAGCGGAAGTAAGTTCTGTTAGGATTAAGGTCTTTTCTCATGAACAAAGAAGTTTAATTAATATCTCTAACTCGGAACACGATGAATGTATGTTTAGAGCACATCTATGGGTTTCCAAACGAGGTCTTGGCAGAGTCTTTGTGAAAATATCAGCAACCATTTCTTGTGTTGGACAATACACAACTCGTGTTCTTTCTTTAAAGATCTCTGATGTGATGATACAATACATATTTTGTGGTGTTATGACGAAAGCACTGCATACTATAAAATTTATGAAGATCATAAAATGGCATAAAGCTTAATTTTGAAGTTAGAGAAGTTTTATTTAAAAAAAAAATTGTAAATGCTAATCACGTATAAAATCGCCATTAAGTTTGACCTTACTGGAGATATGACACACGACCCTTTATTTTCCACCTCCTAGATCTATAACCACAAAAATCTAATATCCCCAATTCCCCTAATACAAAACCCTCGCAAAATTTCAGAAATTTTTTATAAAAGACACAGGAATTATTAAGCTTTAACCATTTTAATGCCAAATGAAGGATTTTAGTCTCCAGATTCCGCATATCGTATCACTTGGCACAATGGCATAGCGAACATAACTGATGCCCGGGGCAATACATTGGCGCTCCCTTCCCCTCCAGAAACAAATCTTGTTTGTCTTGGAGATGACTCGCAGAGGGGCGCCAACCGTTTGGCGCCCCTCTGCGAGTAACGCCCGGGGCATAATAGGACCCCTTGCCCCCTCGCTACGCTAGCGGGTCTTCTTTCCGTATTCCTTGATATTTCTGTCTTCTCTTTCCTAGCTATCATCCTCGATTGACGATTTTTCCCCTTTCCTCTCGCGCCAGTCTCCTTTAACCAATCCAGTGTCACCCCCTATTCTCCAGTGACCCATCGACCATTGAGTCAACCAATTACGGTGAGGTCAACAGAACAAAGGCCGGAAGTGAAATTTATGAAGGGAAAATGCTGGAAGAAAGAGAAAAAGAGAAAAAAAACAAGGCTCAACAAGCCATACATTGACAATTAGATACCGGTAGCAAATCAAGTAGCTTCAATAACGCTCGCTCGCTCGGGAGTATTTAAATCAGAATCACAAATCACATGTAAACAAAATAAACAACTGCGCTAGAAGTGTCGAATTTGAACGAGCAAGTGCACCGCCTGCGGTGCACTTGCTCGTTCAAATTGGTGATACCGCCTGCGCGTATCACCCATTCCCGAAACACGGAGGAGATTGTTTGATTGGTTTATTTTAATAATTGGCGATTTTGAGCGCCATCCTTTGAAAGGCGCCCGAGGCACGTGCCTTACTTGTCCCACCCTAGCTACGCCTCTGACTTGGCATCACATTAGGGTTTGTTTTCACCACGTTCTTAGTTTGTTTGTTAAGTTACGGTAACGCAACACTTAGGCGATCTGGGAATGCCTTCCGGGTGGTCTTTTTAAGGGTAACTGGCCCCTATTCAGGTGTTACAGACGTGGAAAAAATTCAACGTTACCAATCCGTCCTGGCGAGGGTCGAACCTACGACCGAACTCTCAGTGCTTAGAGAACAGGAACCGCTTGGCTACTGGTGGGCCTTCCAGCTTCCTAAGCACGAACCCATTTTGAATTCTGAAAATTTGGAGAAGCGTTATAAACAAGTAATCGTCACAGCATATTTTCTCGGAAATAACGAAAAAATCGACGATTTTGAGACGTTAGTTGATAGAAAAATATGTTTGCTTGAAAATATTTATTTAAAATTAATATTTGTTTGTTGCTCTTTTATGCAGATGAGATAGTACTTTACTTTTGATGATGGCAGAGACAACAGAGACGAAATTGAAAACGTGTTCATATCTGTAAATGCAGCATCAAAAGTAGTAGGGATAAATATGATAATAGAGAAGGGCGAGGAGAAAGTGCCGGACAGCAGATACTTTCAATTTTTTTCGAATTTTCACGAATACTTTCTTTTGATAAATGTTTTGCTTCTCTTGTCAACGATCTTTTCTGATAAGTTCGTATGCTCTGAAATATTTAATTTCTTCCCTAATACCAAATACGCTATTCAGGCATTGTTAATAGGAATGATAACCAGTTGGAGTCTACAGTTTTGTTAAAAGGGCCACATTGGTTAATCTCTCTGTCAGATTTCCTTCTGAAGTTGACATTCGATTGGGTAAGATAATACAGTTGAGATTTGCATTGGGCTTAACTGCTGTAATGTTAGTTGAGGTATTTTTTCGTGTTTTTCTCGATATGAATCTATACATGGCAATGAAAAAGATCACTAAATTTGAATTCTTATTTTGTAATGTCGGTTGGTCGGTGTTATTCTCGGTTTGTACGAACCATTTACTTTTCGTTTTGGTTTTATAAGTACTTCAGAGTTATATTTCATGTTGCATGCGACTGTACGATCAGCCAAAATAGAAGAATGTCCATAGTCCAAATTTGTATTGTTCGATCGAAAATATCATTAGTGAGTATGCGAGGTTTGCCGATTGGGGAAAAAGTGTCGCGACAGTCGAGCGGTCAGCACTGTCGTGTGGGAGTGGAAAAACTTACTGAGACAGGTCTTCCATCGCAAACTATTTATTAAATATAAAAATTTCGCTTACAACTACTGTTTTCTTCGGCGTAAGGCCTATCCACAGAGTGAATCAGTTCAAAGTTCAATCTTACGATCTTCTCTTCTTTTGGCGAAGATGATGAGGAAAACGTAGGCTCCGGGGTGCACAGCACAACTTGAAGGGGTGATTCTCACAGTAGATTATCCTTGGCGAAAGTTGCTGGGACAGGATGGCGAAAACTTCTTTCGGGACGACGAACCGCAGGAAAAATCCAGAAGCGGAGCACACCGAACTTAGTAACCAAGAACGTCACATCCTATTTTTGCGCGATTTTTATAAGTTTTTCTGAGTCCCAGATCGAACATTCCGATAGGTCGATGTCGATCTGCCCCCGTTCTCTAATTGGTCTCCCTCCTCGTTACAAATTGTAACGGGATCGGAGCCCAGATCGCGGGGTGAGTCAACTCCGATTGACAATTTGATTCCTATCGAAGACGCTCGATCTAAGTACTCAAATTCATCTATTGTTTCTTTCTGAGAAATTCGTTTTTTCTCAGAAATTTCTACAGATATGACTTTATATGGACATAATATATTCACCTTGCGTTAGACGGTTTCTTTTTACAATATATATTATTATAATAATAAAAAAACACTTTTTTTTATACGAAATTAAAACATTATCTTGCGCGAATTTCGACCTACTTCCGGAGCCTCACAGGGCTCTCCGCCATTTTTAAAATGTTGCTGTGGAGTAGCGACATTTTAGCTGAGAGCGTTGTACGCTGTCAGTTCATTCTCCGGTTGCTTTTCTTGCGCGCTTTTGGTTTCGCGTAACATCGCATGTCTATATCCAAAGGTTTCTACAAATGATCAGATAACAATGAATCGCAGTTACATCGAATAACAAAATTTTAACAATGTATAAATTTTTCCGACAATTTTAACTTTTACATTTAAATTCTATTACATTTTTCTCTTTTTCGACGTCCCGCAGGGAGGTATGGGTGTTTCCTCTGCGTTTCGTCAAATTCGTCTCCTTCAGGAGGGGATTTTTTATTTTTTTTTTGTGCCGCGTTTACGAACATTTCGTGTTGTATTGGATCCGATTTGAACATTTAAATTACATCTGATGACACGCAAAAATTTTACGTTTTGTAGATCGAGCAATTTATACTAATCACAAAATTTCATTTCTTTCTGAAAAAGCCAAAAGGGGGTTTAAAATCGAATATATTCGCGTTTCCTTTCAGGTTCTTCGGAACACAAATAGGGATTCGATATACGTAGTTCAATTAGTCTGTCACATTCAGAATGTAGATGTAGAAGATACTTCACAGCCACACTCCGACACACGTGGACGTGTTGAGTGTAAGTCCGAAGATCACATGTCATCTGTGTGTTTGTTTGTCTTCCTTTCTCTCGCAGTTTTCCAACAGAATATTTTTCCCTTTCTTTTTTTTTTGAAATTTGGAGTGGACTACTCCATTTCCGTTCTGAATCGTAGGAGGATGATGGGGTGTCTGCACAGACGGTGGAAGTTCGTGTGTTCCCCATTTTTTTTTTTTGTAGACATACTTGTTTTCCAGATTGTCAGTCTTCTGAACAAGAGACTGTTATCTGTCATCAGAGTTGATGCAGATTACCACAAATCGAGGTCATGTAGTTCGAAGATGACGATTTCTTTGGATTCTGACTACAATTCTGTTGAAAGTTCGATGTTTCTTGAACCTTTTCTGATGACGATTTCAACCTTTCCTTTTTTGAATATCGTCATTTTCTTCCGAATCGGTTCTTTTGATGGTTGCTTTGGTTGTGACAGACAGTTGTTTTACACGCGTTTGAAAATTGGAGGGATAATTTTCCTCACATTTCGATTATATAAATTACTCAATCTATGACGGATATTTGCGATCGTGTTTCTCTCGCGACAATTTTGGATTCGAAAAACACTTGTGTGAACAGAAATTTCACATTCAAAGTTTACAAAGTTGACATTATTAATAGGTCGCGACATAAAACAAAATCTTTTTTTGCTTCACAAAAATCGTTTATGTACTAGTTGTTACTGACTCCTCTCCCTCATGATAGTCTCGTTTGCTGGGTGATAGAGACTACCATTTACAATCTTTGAAGAGTCCGATTGGCGTAGGCGGCGGCAAGCGCTCATGACCCTGGCCTTGAGATAAAGCCTCGCTTTCTTCCGCGCCTGTAACCATCGCGTCAATCGGTAGCGTGATTTTTGATGAGGTCGGGAGAACCCACGGGTATTCATGTACAGGTCCCCGACTTCTAAGACCATAATTATGTGAAG